CCAGATTACAGAACCGAAAGCATAAATTTATTATTTTCATTGCTAAGAAATGTTTGCTATGTCAACGACGACAGATTTAATAAGAAATACGCGAAGAAGGCACTAAAACTGCAATTATATTTTTATGTGAATCAAGTGGTTAATTTATTCTAAAAAACATTGTGTTTATTAAATGAAACAGAGGCGTTTTGAGTATTTTTTTTAATGTTCTAAGGTGATATTTTGTTGGTTTTGTTAAGGTAAAAATAAAAAAAAACACTTTATATCCATGAGGCGTTTCATTTTATTCAAACCTTCATAAAGCTTCAGGTTGTTCAATGAACCTGGCCTAACTATATTAAGACCTCACGGGACCCTAAACAAAACCCACAATTTCTCAACTCTCCCAATTTAAATTTGAAAAGCACAATATATTCCATTTTTAAATATTTCGAAACAATTTTCCTGGTTTATACTCCATTAATGTTATTGCTTTTTTTCAAAAACATTTTAATAAGATTTTTAAAATTGAACCACTTTGCACTCTTTAGTTACCTCCTGAAGAATTAAAGTTCTATATTTTTAAATTGGTGCCTTATGTTTTTTTGGGGGGGAAAGTAAAACCTTACTTAATTGGAAACTTTAATTTTCCCCACCCCTTAATATAGGTGATGCTAGCTTAGTGGAAAGTGCGGTAAACTTGTTAGTGAAATTAAAATTCAAAGCAACACAAAGATGCAAGCCATACTTTACACCAGAAAGAAAAGTTCAGAAAAAACTACTGTTTTTTATAAAACTCGATTCGCGGGCCAAGCAAGTCCTTCCCTTGGGGTGATCCTCAGTAAAACTTTGTCATGGACCCACACTAACAGAATTATTAAGAAGTTTCGAGCACGTAAAGCTAGACTCTTCCCCTTAATGCTCGAAACAGTGTTTTATCCATAGATAAAAGTTACTCATTTATAAATCCATTTTACTATACTATGCATGCCCTGTATGGGCCTATTCATGTAATCGATACAGAGGCAAACTGCAAATTGCACAAAATTCTACTCTGAGGCAAATTACTAATGCACCCTGGTACATACGCAATAACAGAATACATCAGGAACTGGGTGTTTGCCCCCTCAAATCATTTTACTATAGAATTGCTAAGAGATTTCATAATAGGCAGCTTATGATCAACAACCCAGCCATCAAAATAGCTACATATGATCAGTATGACTTAGATAACAAAAACAGACCACTGGCCATTCTCAATGAATGGATTATGTAATTCTCCATCATTTTTATAAGCATAGTATAGTAATGCACTCCATTTATTCTGTATAATATTATTTATTGTGTATTTTAATATGAATTCTACTTCTGTATTGCATATTTAATTCCATATAAAAATTGTTTGCCTTACCAACATCCTCTCTGTCTTGCTCCTCTGATCAAGGTCACTTGTAATACTTTTGCACTTGCTTACATTTAACTTCTAATCCACTTGCCTTTCAGCATACCGTCACCAGCTCAATAGCTTTCTGATCTTTACAGCTACACATAAAAATTTATAATTAATTAAAAAATATATAGAATAAAAAATAATTGTATATTTTGAAGCATACCTATTAAAACATGCTTATAACTTCTAGTTATTTACATGCAAAAAAACAAACAAACAAAAAAAAAAAACTTACATCTCTTTAATGAGGGTACCTGAAATTATTTGAACTTCTTAAACGTTCTACAAGGGGTAGGGCCTTCGGCCCAGGTACTCTGGTGTACCAAAGCACTGCTCCACTGAGTCCCTTAATATTAACTCTAAATGTGAAGTGGGTAGTTTTTTAAAAGTTTTAGTTTTGCATTTTATTTGGATCCCCAGTGGCTGTATTCACATAAAATTTTAATTATTTTCGGAAACTTTTATTTTTTATCACCTCCTAAATATTACCCCCAAAATTAGGGGATGGCATTTTAAACCACATTTTTAACAATGGTACCAATCCGGTAAGATACCCTATCAAACAAAAAAATCATTCAAATCGGTTGAGATATGCTGAAGTAATCGCCGGACAAACATAAAAAGAAAAAAAAAAAAAAAAAAAAACATTGATCTAATTGATAACCTCCTCCTTTTTTGAAGTCTGTTAAAAATACACAAAAAAGGCTCGTTTAAAAAGAAACATCCTGTAGGAGCTATTTAAATATTTCTTGAGAAAAAGTGGATATTTTTTAATTATTCTACTCACCTTACTTAAACACGAGTTTAGAAAAGGCGAGTAAAAACACAAGTTTAAAACACGAGTTTAAAAAAGGCTCAGTAAATAGTAATTGTATTATAATGCACTCTACTTCACTAGCAACCAATCTGCAAGACAATTATTCCATAAATAAATTGATAGAATTGCCTTTGGAAAGTACTGTCTAATGCAGCGGTATGCCTGTATAAAACACATAAGTATCCAAGTATCCTTTTATATTCACAGTTAAAAGCATGTGAAAGCTTGTCAGGACTGATTTTTCATGCCCGCCCGTGTTTTCATACATGTTTTAACAAATTAAGACACACGGTAAAAAATTCTGCTACTGCATTTTGTATGTGTGTCCATTTATTTAAATTATAATAAAAAGAGTGATTTTGTTTATGTTTTAAGCTATTTTTAAGTGGGAATTTATTAGGCTTATGAGCAGTTTCCTTGAATTTGAAATATTTTGACATTTAAAATACTTAAAAGTTCGTAAACATATATTATTAATATTTATATTATATATTAATAATATAATTATATATATATTAATAATATATTTTTTTAAAATTCAACATATTAATTTTTCATAAGATTTAAATGAATCTTTGTTTATTTTCTTCGTAAACTAGTTAATTTTACAGCCAATTGCCAGGGCAGGGGCCTGGCTTGCCCACCACTAGCGCCTGCCCTGAGGTTTATCTGGCTCATTTTCACTTAAAATTTGTATTATAGCACTTTCAGGTATTGCATGGTACAGTATGTTGTAGATGGTATCACCATCAGAGCAGGGTTAGAACTAAGCTCTGTTGCTGCCTAATGAAATCTTAATGGCTCCAAAATTCTATGACTTAATCCTCTCTAAATTAAAAAATTACTAGACAAAATTTATTTTTCAACAAATTAAGAATTAAAGACAAATATTTCATAATTTCTTATTTAATATTTTAATCTGTTGAATTTAAGGAAATGATTAAATTTCTTCCATTAGCATTCTGAAAACATTTATTAGGAAAAATAAATAAATTAAACTCTATATGCAGTTTAGACCCATTATATTTGGTTTATGCTGACACTGATCATGAAGATCTGCTCACAAAGAGGCATTTCTTTTCACATTAAATGTTGTATATGGTGAATCACTGATTTGTAGAATGCTTGCGATGAAATGTCACAGAATTATGAATGCTGTTGAAGTCTGGCATGCTAAAAATCTATATCCAAACATCATGGAACTTGTGTTAGTTTTAAAGAAAGATATTGAGGAAGGAATTAAGGTTAAATATTCTTTTTAAAATGTGAATTATAAGGAATATAAAACTGGATAAATAATGATGCACTACAATGAAAAAGTTTGTTAAAGAAATAGTTTTTCATCTGTATTTACTAGGTTGTGTTATGTGATGCATTTACTGAAAGAGAAATATTTTGCAGTTTAATTATTAAATTGTTTGCTAGAATATGTGTTTATGAAATATTATATGTGTATTGCACATCATTATTCTGCAACATGCTAAGTTTAAAAAATGAGAAATAAAAGATTTGAAAGGTATTAATAAACAGCCATTTTGCTCATTAGCTGTTTTGCTCCATTTTTACAAAGATGCCAATTGAAATTTCAAAATTATGTTAAAAAAAATCTTTTTGTGTTTGTTTTACCTGTATAAAACCATCTGTGATTAACTCATTTAATTAGTGGTTCAAATAGTCCATATGCTCATTTTTGGCACATAAAAGTCTGATTATTTTAGTTTAACAGTTGACTCTCAAATATCTTCCCCCCCCTCCTTGATGATGAACAGACTCTTGAATGTTTTTTTTTTTTTTTTTTTTAACTTTCCTTGATCTGAAATTTTATGAAGAATTATCATTATCAAAATCAAGTGCTAGAGTAATTGCATTTTTTTTAATACTCTTTTCAGAATGCTGGAATTAGTCTAATCACATCATTGCTAACATGTGTAAAGGAAATACTGTGTGCAGCTCATCAGTTAAATTTTTAGACTGAAAGCTGTTTGCTGTCATGAAGGAGATTATTTTTTCTTCACTGTGCAAATGTTCTGTACTTTTTCTTTCAGCTTCAGCCAAACAGTGGATAATTATTAAAAGCTGTACTGGTAATGAAAACATCTTGAAATGTCTTTTCAGTATCAATTGAATGGAACATATTATAGCAACAGCAATAATTTTGATGTGTAGCTGAAAACTGGTCATGGAAATGTAAGAAGAGGACTGGAATTAATTTTTGTGCTGAATTTTGGGGATGAGATTTTGCAAAATTTTCACAGAGTAAGCTAGCCCCTTCAGAATGAATGTGTGAGCTTAGAAACATATTCAAATTGTTTTTAACTTCCTAGCTGGCAAACTGCACTTCATGAGATGAATTGAAAAAATATGAAGAAAAGGCAAATAAAATTAGATTATAAGCTAGTCCTACAGGAATTATCATTCACATCTGATATTTTTTTCATTTTTTTAAAATTTTATTCTTATTTTAAATGATTTTCTTTCTCCCATTTTAAAACATTTTCCTGCACAATTATTCATAGTTTTTGGTGTTATAGGTAAAGTATTTCATTAGAATTTGATATTTCTGTTTTTAAAGGATAAGTGTAAGACTCTTCTGTAAAATTTTCATAACTTACCACTGGCAGCAACTAACCCAAAGATTTTCCAAATGATCACTAAAATATTGCAAATGAATCTTACCAAATTTCTTTCCGTATACTTCTGAAAATATATTTATTAATTGCAAGTTTTTTTTTTTTTTTTTTTTTTTTTTTTTAGGTTACTGATCCTACTCTTGTTGATTTAATCCGTAGAAAAGTAAGGTTAAATCAACCTTATGCTGGAGTTTTCATGAAAAAATTTGAAAGGTATAGTAGCATGTTAATATTTTACCTTAAATCTTTTATATTATTTTATTTACTATTATTTATAAAATACCTGAATGTGACTATTCATCCAATCCATTAAAGCAAAGCTAAATCTATTCCATAAACTGTACTGAAGCCCTTGTGTGTTGTGCCTAAATAAATTAATTCAATCCAGTACAAAATTATTTTAAAAAGCTTCTTGAAGTCCTCCTCTCTTCTAGTTCAGCAGCTGATTACTTCATTTGATACTTTTAAGTAATTAAATATTTTTATTAGAGTAGAAATTTTCATTTGAAATCTTGTATAGTATGTAAATATGCTAACTGGGATAACTAATCTTTTCTATATTATAATATTGTAAGTTTTGCTTATTTCCTAAATGTATTAAATATGATATTTTTTTTACATTCTGTCACTTGAATTTCTGAGAGTTCAATTCTTAAAGTGGTAGGTCTATTGCAACTCTTAAGCTTAAAACTGTTTTGGGTATTAAACAAATAATCTGAATTTCTTTTAGTACTTTTGTGCTATATTGCCATTGCATGCATGCAGTCATTATCATTACTTCAGTCAGCAGTTAATTTATACATTTCTAAATTCTTCATATGCTATTTAATGGATAATAGTTATTCAACTCAAAATGAAAAACTGAAGTGTTTCCAGGAATGGCAGCCTGGATTGTTATAGTCATTTTACAACACAAGTGCAATTTGTTTAAATGCCCATGATAAAATTGTTACCCTATTTATAATCACTTATATTTATTGTAGTAGTGGTTTTATTTTAATGAAAAGTTACATTTGATGCTGCTGATGAAATTTTTATAATCATTTGCTTAGAATGTTGAGTACCTTGTAAAGAAACAAGTATGACTTTGCTTAGAATGTTGAGTACCTTGTAAAGAAACATGCATGACTTTTTTGTGAAAATAATCTCTAAAGTTTAAAATATTTCCACTAACTTCATTTTTTCTTTATTCTTGCATCACGTTTATTAACCTTTATATCTTTTTAGGTAGTAATATCCTCTCTTGTCCTTGAGGGATCAGAGGTACACTGTTTATTTTAAATAAGATTTTTCTAAATTTCCTCAAACCTGAATCTAAAATAATTTTGCAAACTACTTGAAAAGATATAAAGGTTAATATCTTTTTAGATAGTCATATGGTGATTTTATCTTTATGTACTGTATTAGTTTCTTAAGCTATTGTATATGTTTTTTTACGTAGAGGTGTAAGATTATAGTTTGCATAATATAGCTATATTTAGTATAGCTTCATAACTACGCACATAGCCAAGCTCATAGCTGCCGATTCTTCCAGTTTTTCATCATATCTCCTGGTCTCCTTGTAGATTACCAAATCTGCCAGTTTTTTAATTTTACACTTTACTTACAAAAGTGTTTTTCAGTAATAAATGAAAGTTATTGATTTGATGAAATTTAAATTGTGAAATAATCATTTTCACACTCTTAATGATTTTCAGCATAATTTTTTTGCATTAAATTTTATTTGATCTGAATTGTGTTTATTAATAGTACACTTGTAAAAATTTTTATTAAAATTCAACAAAAGTTTAATCCATAAATATTATTATTTAATTTAGTTTAACACCACTTTATAATACTTTTTAAATTTATCCCTGCAATAGCATGTGCAGTTAACCATCATCAAATGTGATTTTGCATATGCATGTATTCTTGTTTCCACTTAATTTTAAAAATGCCTGAATCCCATTTATATGCAGTTCAGTGTTCATTCATCAACACTGCATGTTTATTAACTTCAGCTTTGGCTAGAATTTGTGAACTGTTTTAAAGGGATTCTGCCAATTGAAAATGAAGCCAAAGGCATCAATTATGCAAATATAATTAGTGGTAAAGGATTTTTAGATATGAAAAAAGTCAAAGAATAAATCAAATTATGAATGAAGAACTGGATGATCTAATATCTTTAATTTACAAGAGGTTAAGAAAAATGTTGAAAAAAAAGGCATAGGAACTGTCTGATTTTACAGTGGAGATTGACTCGAATGAAAGCAGAGGGCACTAAAGTGAGAGGCATTGAAAAATTATGGCCTCCTTTCTTCAAAACGTCATCAACCATTGTGTCAGGCAAAAATCAGCAGTTTTTTTGCCTAAGTAATTTTATCGCTATTAAACACTAATAAAAGTCCTTTCAACTAACATATGTTTTGTTCTTTCTTTTTGATTGTAATTACACTTAGATTTCTTTAAATTATGTAGACTTTCTTAATATGAATTAAACCTACAAGATTTTCCCCATAGAAAATTAATTTTGTGGAACGTAATTTTTCAATATGCGCATGCGCAACGTAACTCTTCTGTTTGACAAGGATTTACTGTACATTAGTTATTAATTTTATTTTGACTGTGTTTAAAAGGACTTAAAGCTCTCCTTCCTTATTCAGGTTTTTCTCAATATAAAAGTAGAAGAAAATTACTAAATAAAAATAGCCAGCAAACATAAAATTTTAAATATTTGATTTAAATATTAATGTATTTTATGTCATAATCATATAAATAGTTGAATAATGTGAACCATACATTATAAGGTGACTTTTAATTCAATTTAGAATACTCTTAAATAGTTACTGCCATGTAAACCTGATCAAAGACCCTGGTTTTTTGCATGCTTTGCATGTTTCATAATTTAAGATTAGCAACTATGCAAGCTTGTTAAATTCCACTTCACTTCATTTAGCAGTATGCTTGTTTTACTTAGTCTTCATTTATGTACAGTTGCTGTAGATTTGTTTAAATCAGTTCCATAAAGATGTTTTTTTTGGGGGGGGGTACTTGCATATTATTCTGTCGACCGTGAAAGTTTGTGGAAATGCTGCCAAAGTCAAGCCGTTCATGCCTGTGGAATTTTGAAGGAACTGACATATCTTAATAAATAAATAAATAGTATTCAACTGGCTTCGTAAGAAGGCTTTTGTCAGTTTCTGCTATTTTTATCAGCACTCCAACTCTACCAGGAGATCTGTTTTTAACACTATTAGTACAATCTTCCCACAGCTAATCGTTTCTGTCCATTACTGTTTTGTTAGCTGTATTCAGCTGAACATATCATGCCTATCAGTACACACTTTTTTGATGATAGGATTTTGCATAATTTTGAAAATAATCCATGTCTTGCTGTTCTCTAAAAAGCAAGTCCCATTTTTTTAATCATTTCTTTCCAAATTCAAGGAAAACATACAGCAATAACAGTTTATTTGTAGCTCTGCTAATAAAAATGTAAGATGGCTTATTGAGAATCAATCGAGGTTACATCACACTTATCTTGAATTGTGCTAGGTCAACAGTACCATTTTTTTTTTTTTTTTCTTAATTTTTTTTTATGTGGAATACATAAAATTGTTTTTTTTTTCACTATATTTAATTTTTTATGTGTTTTATTGCATCATTGTTCTACATCATTCTGTTATTACATTACTGTTCTATGTTTTTTGTTTTATTGTTTCCATTTCCCATATATTTCCAGTGAGACAGATGTGGTTGAAAAATTAGATGACATATATAATGTAGGAACATTTGTGCAAATTCATGAGCTTCAGGATTTGGGAAGTAGTTTAAGAATGGTTGTTATGGCGTATAGACGGTATGTATGTAAATTTTAAAAAACTTGAAGATTTAATTTTAAAAACTTAAGTTTTAAAAAGCAAATTTAAACTTTTTTTAAGCTTTACTTTAAAAGTGTAGCTTTATAATGAGAAATGCTTTAAGGTTGTTTATACTTTTTAGAATAATATTTATTTTAATTTATATATTAGTATGCTATTTTTATCCATGTTTACTAAAAAAGTCTCTCTTTAAAGAGTATTGTGGATAATCATTGGTTAAACATGGGCTAATAAAGATACAGAGGTTGGACAAAAATATTGAAACACCTCATAAAATGCATATTTCATCTGAAATGTTTATTCTTGCAAAAACTATTAGTGGTGCTTATGTGTTTACTCAATGCCATCTGTACAGCATCCTCAATAAGTTATATCATTTGTTATTGAGGCAGTGTGCTGTGCATTAGTGAATATATCATGCCAGAGCTAATAAAAAACCCGAACATGGATAATTTGTTAAGGCTTGTATGATGGGTGCTTCATAACCAAGGTAGCTGAAGTGTTTGGTGTTTCAAGATGCATAGTAATTAATATTTTTAACTCATACAGAAAAACCAGATCTGCTCAATCACAGCATGTATGAAAATGTGTGTTGAGGGATCATGACAAATGTTCATTGAAGAGAGTTGTGATGAAAAATAAGCTGCAAAAGTAACTGAACTGAATATTGCGCTCACAAACTCTGTCAGCACCAAAACAATACAAAGCTCCACAAGTGGGGTAATTTTGGGTGAGCTGCAATGCAAAAACCACTCATCAGTGATCAAAATGTCTGGAAGAGGAGGAAGCGGCTCCAAAGTCATAACACCTGGACTATAGAGCAATGGAAGACTGTTATTTGATTGGATGTGTCTTGCTTCACATTGTTTCTGATTTCTGGGTAAATTTACATCTGGCAAACATCTTAAATATTGCAGAAATAATTAAATATCAGAAGCAGTGATTTTTTTTTAGTTTTAACACAGTATGGAAATATTGATATGAATTCAAAATTTCTGAGTTGGTTTTCAGTTAATGTTTGGGCCAGCATTGTGTGGGATTACCTCTCATCTGACCTTACCTGTTGCCTTTTCATCTAACTGGTTGTAACTACTTGATCTTTCTGCAGTAAGTCTTGCGGAAACTTTCAGATGACAAACAGATTTCTACAGCGATGTGACAGACAATGTGGTTCCAACACCATGGGGACCCTGCCCATTTCAGCTATAATGTTTGTACCCACCTAGGTGTCAGATTTGGCCAAAAGTGGATCAGACAGGGTATTCGGTGTGTTGGACTGGTCGATTTCTGAACCTATCATTTCTTGATTTTTTTTATGGGGCATATGAAGACACTGATTTATGACATCCCTATTTACAATGCCAAGGAGCTAGGACATTATCTTTGACTTGTTTTACTTTTGTTCATGTAAATTTGTTATTGAAAAGAATATTAACTTACCTGGATGTCTTTTAATTTCTGATGTTTCTGTGTACACCAGAGCATCAGAAAAGCATTTCCGATCCCGCATTGCTATATGATTCTGAATCATCAGGGTGCAACCTAAGCCTGCTAGAAATTCTGAAATGTAATGAGACACCCTGTGTATACATCCATTAACAGTATGGATAACTGGAATTCTGTATATCTAACACATGTGAATTAGAACAAGGAATTGCTAAGTTATTTTGCTTACCAAAGAGAGTAAGTAGACTTGCATTATTCCCCTTTTTTTTTTTTTTTTTTTGTGTGTGTGTGTGTGTCTGTGTGTGTGTGGAAAACAGTTTTATCATAATTTTAGGAATGCTTTTAATTTAAATTATTTGAAGTTCTATAAAGATAGTCATTCTAGTAAAATATATAATTATTTTTTTATTCCAGAATCAAAATTGTGAAACAAATTTTAGAAGGTATGTATTTTTATATAGTTATTATTTTTTTAATAATGTTACTATATAATAAACTGCAAACTCATGATTTTAGATAATACTTGTCAATGTCTAAAGGAATTGTGATTATTATTAATGAATCATTTCTAATAATTTACAAAAATGATTTTAAGCAGTGTTCTTTTTTTGTCCTCTGCATGTTTAATTTGGTTCTTTCTTAATAATCTGTAAATCTAGGCTGCTGTATTAGTATAACATATATACATAAATTTCACATCATTGAAATTGTATCTGTGTATCAACTAAAAATATTACAAGTGGCATAAGTTCTAATTAACGGGAAAGTTTTATTAAATTTGCAAACAAAAGTAAAATTTGCCGAAATTTTAAAAAATGTTTTTCTGACTATCAAATGATACTTGAAAGTAAATTATTTTTATTTATCTTTTAAAAATGAAATCATTTAAATATGAAGATCTAAAAACTTGTAAGCTTTTATCATATGTTGTAGAGAATTTTTAGAAAACTTCAAGGTTGTTTTCAAAATGAGAAGCTTTCCAAATGAGAGACTAAAGAGAAATCCACTAGAAACAGATATAAAGCTAGACAAAAATTAAACTTATATCCATTTGTTTCATAGGCAAGGGAACAGAAAGAAAGTGCAATTTTAGAAATTAAACAGAAAATCGGTTTTTAAAAAGAAAGTTACCTTTCAGAACATTTTATACTTCAAAAGGAACACAGTGAAGAATTACTCAAAACAAGAAAGAATAAGAAAGCTTTTGGTTTTCAAAAGCCTTAAAATTGCTGAAAATAAACGATATTATTCTTTATTCATAGACATTATTCTTATACATAAACCTTTATTTTAACAATATGCTGGAGAAAATAATTATTAATGAAAGATAAACATTTTAAATACATTTAAAATACTTGAGACACACTATGACAGACTATGTCATTTAAATAAATTTGAGACACACTATGTCATTTAAATAAATTTGTGTCAAAGATTCCTACCAGCGGACAAATGGTAAAGTGGCTGACTGCATGGGCATTTTTGTAGTTTTCTCTGTGTGTAGCATGTATTTCAGCCAGTTTTCCTTAAAATGGCCTCCATGAATGCATCCTTCCTTTAGGCAGATAGTGCTCTAATGTTTTACCATACTTAACCAAAACAAATCATGTGTTAAAGGTGGCCCATACATATACAGTATAGCTGAAACATGTCTCTGTTTTTACCCGTGGGAATAGAGAGGGGATGGTTGAGCAACGAAAGAATGCAAAGTAACTGATCCTTTTGAATGCCAAATTGTTTCAAGAGTATAAATTCTTAAGCTTGATGTGCAATAATGGAAAAGTGAATCTAAAAGTTATCTAGAATTGTAGTAAAATGACTATTAGATTGATTAAAAGAAAAAAATTTTGATATTCATGTAAATATTATGTCTTGCACAGACATCATAAAATGATTTTTTTATTTTTAAACCATCAAATATTATAGTGTTGTACCAGATTTTTGATCAAAGAAATAATTCAAGCACTTAAAGATCATGAACAAAAATTTCCTGAAGTGCCACATTTTATCCATTGCTTGGTTATTTCGAAATGGTCAAGAATCTGTGAAATCCATGCAGCTTGCTAAATATTGCACTATTAAATGTGTCAAACCCACCTATGTTAAAAAAAATGTTTAAAAAGATTAGATATATCAAAATCACTTTAACAGAGATCTGAAATGTTGATTACAAAAAAGTTCAAATTTATAAAGAAATTTCTTCTTAAGTTGAAATTTTTAATGACAATTTAAAATTTATATTGTGCTTGAAAATTTATGTACAAAAGAAAAAATTTGGAAAAAAAAAAAAAAGGATTCCATTAAAAAAAGTTAATTATAAACAAAATACCAAAATGCATTACCGTATAGCTGATGTAATGATATAGCAAATATATGCAATGACATATTAATAAAGCAAATACACACTAATATAGCAGAATATCATTTAAATATGTTGCATGATAGCTTGTATTATTTTCTTTAAGAAGTCACTACTAATATAAAGAAACATTGAAAAACATTTTAATTCATTTTATAAACATTATAGTTTTAGAAGCGTTAACATTTTTTTGGCCTGGCAAATAAAAGGGCAAATGTATAAAGAAAAATATGCTTCAAAGAGTATGTTTGTGTGCTTAAAGCTGTTTCGTTTTCTTAGAATCTAGTTTGTTTCAATTATTTTTAACTGCACAAAATAGTTTTATTGTGAACTTATTTTCGGCTAATCCCACATGTTTATTAAAATTAACTAGATGCAGAGGCAGATTCTCATAGGAGACGACGTCGAAAAAATCGAAGGCAAAATAATGGTTCTTCAGCTGATTCTGTTGATTCACATCAGCCTGATATTCAACTTGTAACAAATACTCCAGTTTTAATGGTTGAAGTTGAAAATCTTGGTCATGAACCATATGAAGTAACTGAAGAAATAAAGGTGAGTTTTTAGAGTACTTTTTGTATATCATTTATTTAACACTAGAACAGCGGATCTTTTGATATACCTGAAATGTGGCGCGGGTCAATTTGATCCTAGATAGAAGAAAACACCTAAAAATATGCACAAGTGATTACTTTCGTTAACCAAAACATTTTATTTTTATACAAAAATCAGTACTTTTCAGAATTTACGTTAAATATTTTATATAAATCAATGGAAATTTTAATCCATTATTCCATTGATTCCATTGATTATTATTAAATTAAATTAATTTAATTTAATAATAATCAATGGAAACCTAATTTTTAGAAAATCGTCTTATTTAAAATTTTATTTCCTTAAGTATAATGACATGTCTTTTAAACAAAATGAAACATTTTTCTAATTTTGATGGAAAAACAGAGTATATCATTTAAATAAGTTTAGACATAATTTGTAGAGAAAAAAATAAAAATTTTACTAGTTTTACCAATTTTTAAAAATCCAATTTATTGTATGCATTGTGCACAAAATTTAGCATTACGTTTTGTACATTTACCACAAATAGGGGATTTTGAACAAATATCTTGAGTTTTATGTTTGCATTTTGAACTGTGGCACTAGACTCATTTACACTTAACTTGTTGCCCGTCGTTTTCAGTGGTTGCACATACACCAATATGTCGCCTTTTTTAGCCGGAAAAGAACAAACTTTTCTTTCAGTTCTCCAACTAAGTCTTGAATGAATTGCTGTCTACTTATAGGTTTTCCAGGTATAGCTTTGTATAAAACCCAGGCATTGATAGCAGCAAGGTCCAAAATATTATAAAAACCCTCTGCAAGCTTCAGTGTTGTTAAAAAGTTATCTGCCGTGACATTTCTACCTTTGTTTTCACATGGACTTAATACAGAGTTCGTGCGGTCCTTAAGAGTCCTTAAAAGTCCTGAAATTTTTTGAAATCGATTTTTGGTCCTTAAAAGTCCTTAATTTTGGCCAAAATCAGTAGAAGGTCCTTAATTTTAATCATCTGAAATTTCTCTCTGTTTTTACGACTGCCATTTTGAGTGTGAATTAGCATTTGGGGAATTTTTGGCAATTCCACTGACGTATATGGTTATCTTTGAATGGGTTCATGGGTTTATAATTTGTCTCTGTTTCTAACATAAAATGATGGGATACTCGATTTCTAAGGCAAGAAGTAAAAACATAGGCATTTCGAATTCATTTTTTCTAATTAAAGAGCTCTTAAACACTTTTTCGTTTTTGGTGTTTGTGATTTTTAAAATGGTTCTAAATTTGACAACTTTTCAACATTTTTTGGCGATTTTTAAGATCAGTTTCTATAGAAAATTTTTAATTCAGAGATCTGAGAATTTTTCGGCGATTTTTTAAAAACATCATAACATTGATAAATTTCATTAAAATAAATGGTAATATATTAGAATTATATTTAAAAATAACATTAAAATAAAACATTTTTATTTTCGCTGTCAAGTTTCATTTTGGCAACTTATTATACAATACTTTAAATCTGAAAAATAAACAAGGTATATAGCTGTGAAGCATAATTTTCGAAACAGCTCTTATAAAACAAAATTAGCTATGTAATTAATTAAAATGTTTCTTTTAATTTTTTATAGTAAGCGGTTTTTCCCATGTAATTGTCTCAGATTATCAAATTCCCAGAAATATGCATCAGTTTTCTCTATAAAAATTAATTTTTACACTTTTTCCTTCCCCCCCTTTTTTTTTTCAAAATATTTCTGGCTTTTTGCTGTTACAGAATTGGTTGGGATAATTTTTCTTTAGTATTTTTGACATTGCACCATGGAAAGTTTAGAAGGATTTGAAGGCAAGATTTATAGACCCATGTTTCTAAAAGACTTGAGAAATATGTGAGAAAATGAAAAATGTCTCCAGGGTATCAACATATCATCACGTAATGGATGCATTTTACAAAGAGCTTACGATGAATTTCTTACTTTTTGGAGAACGTCTGCAAGAACAATGGAAACATAATGTTTGAATGTTTTACTCCTGATACTAGAATCTTTTTTCTTAACATGTTTATCTTCCTTTTATTTTCTCTACTTTTCACTAGACAAAAGCATGGAAAATATCAAAAATGCTTCTAATCTTATCACTTGGCATTATAGAAAGAGATTTTTTTTTATTAATAAAGAAATTGAAAACTTACAATTTAAAAGATTCATCTATTGTGTCGTACACAGAACTGGTGCTATGCATTTTCCCACCTGATGCAATCTCTGTGTATCCTAAATTCTGCTGCCTAGTGCCTATCTAAATTCTAGCATATCGGATGCTAGAAGTTTTGCCATTTCTAGATTCTTTTGTTCTGTGTGTCACTAAATTCTAAAAATTCTGCCACACCTGCTCTGTACCTGGCCTTTACCATATATATTTCATATTTCTTCTAAATGTTCAAATTACTAAAAAATTAAATTAGCCGCTTTCTCTGTATATTCTAAATGCATTTAGTGTTTTTTAGAATAACAGAAATCCTTAATTAAATCCAAAAATTCTAAAATTAAAAGGAAACATGTTGAAGAAAGAATCCGAATACATAAAGAAAATTATTCTTCAAAGATATGTGCAGTTATTATTATGTAAATTACCCAATTGTTTATCATTTCAGCCTTTACTATAATTTCCCATTTCTGTTTCCTCATATGATAGAGTTACTGAGCCAGATTAAATTTAAATTAAATTGTATTATCTTTGACCACTAGTCCACATTTTTAGTTTGAATTTGACTGTTCTTGTTTAATTACGTCACCATGAGCTGTAATTGACTTTCATATACAGTGATAATTTGCTTCACGTCTATCGGGGGGGGGGAGACTATTTAACTTTTACCAGATCAAGTAAACCCTCATAGGTACATTGTGGAGAGGTTGACAAGCTAGGAGATAAAGCACAGAGAAACTTGCGAGAACATTGGTTTGCACAGAGACACATTTCTAATTATTGTCAGAAAAGATCGATAATTAAAGAGAAGAAAATCGATATAAACTAGTCAAAATGTTTGGGAAGGCTTGTAGAGACATTAGGTATTTTTGAAAGCAGGAAAGATAAAAAATGAACAGCACCTTCGCCAGGAATCGAACCACGGACCTCTGGAATACTGCTACTAGTGTGCAAACCACTACACCATGAAGGGCCGCCCCGCCATGAAGGTGGGAGAAATATCTTATATACTCCCCCTTTTAAACGGCGACTTGGGTTTTTAGGGAATCCAATCGCCAAATCCTTTGTGGGGAGAACCCCATCAAGTAACCATCACACATCAAATAACCATCAACACCATCAAGTAAAACTTATTCTTTGCATCTATTGAGACTTATATATAAAACAACTTATCACCTCTGGCACTTTAATGGCTTATTGGAACCTTAAAGTATATTAACTGGGTTACAATCGCTGGAACTCTACACAAAGCTATGACATTAACTGCATTAAGCAGAGCTTGATTAACTTCAACACTTGCCAACTGTGCCTACATCAGGCTTTTCAGGTTTGTTCCAATCAGCAGGTCTCTCTATGGACAAGCAGCAGAGGGACAACATTTAGTCTTTTGTTATGAATCATGCTGATTATGATCTCACTTCTCATTTTAACCTATGTCGTTTGACATAAAATCTCCCTATTATTTGCTAAACCTCTAGGCTGAACAAGTATGTGACAAAATTAGACAAAAAAAAAAAAAAAAAAAAAAAAAAAAAAAAAAAAAAAAAAAAAAAAAAAAAAAAAAAAAAAAAAAAAAAAAAAAAAAAAAAAAAAAAAAAAAAAACATAAAGCTAACTATTAGTAAATGTAATGTCACTTATCTTCTTTTTAAATATGTCCAACTATTATAAGTAAATATTTATGCTAGTTGATAAACTGCATGACATTTATTTTTCTCAAAAACTTATTCATAATTATTTAGTTAATTCATGTTTAGTATAATGCATACTACTTAGGATCTATTTTATTTTTAGGATGGTATTACAAAAGTGAAATTCAGGCATAGAATAATATTTTTAATTGAATTTATTCAGTTTCCATTTGCTCATAGGTCCTTAATTTTTTTTTATTAATGGTCCTTAAAAGTACTTAATTTCCGTGTGCAGAAGTGTGTATGAACCCTGTAATAGTTGCAGCACTGCATGTTTAGAAAGAGAAACTTTGGATGGACTTTGTTATCTTTTCCAAAATACGGGAATCCATTTATTAGATATTTTGATTCAACATCTGCAGCTAACCAGAACTTGATTCCAAATTTATCTGGTTTGTTAGGCAGGTATTGAGTAAACCTACACCTAGCTTTTGTAGGAAATAATTGTTAATCTATAGTTATGTTAGGACAAGGTGTATAGTTAGTTCAGCAATTTTCAATGAAACAATTATAAATATCAAAGATAAGGGCAAATTTGTCTGTCTCTAGACGATTTGATCTCGTTGATTTTATATCGAAGCGTAAGAATCATTATCTCATGAAATTTGTACCTTGACACTGTATTTCAAAAAACGGTGGTCCCCAGTTCATTGACCACAAGCTATGCAGTTCAAGTCCTTTTGCACAATATGTACCATGTACATATAAAAATGCTATAAAAGTATACATTTCTTCTATTGCTATATTCCATTTATTTTCATGAATCTGTCGATAAGCTTCATCTTCAGTGCATTTCTTTATATGGTTCAATATCCATTCATCTTTGAAGAGTCTCCAGGCCCTTGACTTGCTGTTGTCTATAACACTGCGTTTACCAAATTCATTATTTCCAACTTTGAGTGCTACTGCTGATTTCTTTTTCGGATTTGAGTGCACACGTTTTTTTCTTATTTTTTTTTTTCTTTTTCATCTGATAAATTATCAATATTATTGCAATGAGAAGGTCCAGATGTTAAGGCACTGCCAGAGTCATCACCACTTTCATATTCTTCATTTGAATTCGAATTTTCTTCATGAGCCAGCAAGTATTTATTCTTGCTACTCAAAATCGAAACACTATCATCATTATCATCATCTTGTGTCATTTTCAGATAATTGTTGTAAATATTCCAAAGCTTCCTGAACAGTCCTAGACAATGTCATGACATCTTATCAAGCCTCATACCAAATATAGAATAAAAGCAACTTCAAAAAAGTTTTCGAAATATCAGTTGTAATTTTCCCCTTCATTCGAACACAATTCCTGTTTCGAAGCAAACATTATGACCTTACCTGAAAACCTACATTATTCCCCCTCCTGGTGCAGTCCATTTGAGGAATTTGGGGGGTGAGGCAAATGTACTTTACAGTTACTTCCGATAAAATGCATTTGTTTTTTTTTGTCATTTAGGCATAAATATTTCTTTTTTCTGGGTCAAACTGGCCCACTTTGCGGTTCTCGGTATAAATGTTACACATTTTCAAATTCGATAAGTTGCTGTTTACCTTAAATTATTTAAAGTCGGGAAAGGATTTCAATTAATACTTTTGGCATGGTGACAAATTCAAGATTGGTTTGGGTCAAATTGACCCGCTTCATGGTTCTAGTGTTAAGTTACTGGAATGTAAAGTTTTCAGAATTTCAAACTGTGATAATTTTACATTTAACTATCTGTTTTTTTAAAGCTTTCATTTTTAATTGTTATTAGACATTTTTTAAATTTCTAATATTGAAAAATAACTAAAGCTTTCTCAAGAATTAAATTCATATTTCAATAGGCTCTGACTCAAGAAATTGTTAAGACAATAAGAGAAATCATTGCTTTGAATCCCTTATATCGAGAATCTGTTCAGCAGATGATTCAAGCAGGTCAACGTGTCATAGATAATCCAGTGTATTTATCAGATTTAGGTATTTTCTTTTTTCATTTATTTACAGTTTTTCCTCTCTTAATTTTATTTGGGTACTTTTCCGTTTTGCGGGCGCAAACGATAAAGTCGCCAAAAATGGTACAATTGATGCCAAATGGAATATCTTCGCTGGTAATCTTTTACGCCTCATTTTCAAAACAAGTCGCAGCCATTTCTTACCAGATTGACTGATTTTTTTTTTTCAATATTGGCATACAATTACATAGAATATTTACAAAGATAATTAAATTTTATGCCCCAAGACCATTCGCAGTAATTAAGTCAATTAGGATGCAATCACCCGAAGGCGAAAATATAGAAAAGGCAAAATCAAGGGTTAAATTCCTCAGTTCTAATGAGAATAACACTAGTGAAGTAAAGCACTGCAATTTTTCATAATTTCTGAGTACTATTCGTACGAATGGAAATAATTCTTGCATTTAAATTTGTATTTCAAATTAAGATTTAACTTGAAATTAATGTAGGTAGTTACTGAGAGAATTATATTTTTGTAGTATAGTTTATGTGAAATGAGATCACTTGGGGTTACATGATACAAACCGGTGAATCAGGATGTTGAACCATCCTATTCTTTAATAAATATCTTTTTACAAATTTATTGGCTTTATTTATTGGCTTTTTACAAAATTTTAAACCATATTAAAGTGTTTATGCCTTCAAAATAAAAAATTCTTAGAACTAACATTTGTTAACAATTTTATGTGTATACTGTGTGTTGTCGCCAAAGTCTGCTTGGCGAGATTTGCGTCGGCGAAACGGAAATGTACCTTTATTTGCTTTGCAGTGTATGTCTACATATGCATATGTGTGTATATATTTACATAGGTAAATAAATCATTTACATGTATACTGTATTTACTTGTATATTCCTCCCTTTTTTTTTTCTGATATTACTTCTTCAAATTCTAAAGGAGAAAATTATGCAGTGTATATTATTTCTGAGGAGAAGAGCTTAAATGAAAAACACAGCACACATGAAGAGATTTACTAATGTTACTTTATTATGTATTTCAAAGGAGTAAAATTTATTGATCTTAGTTAATGTTCTTTTTACTGCTGCTATATACTAACTTTTTTCTGCATACATTTCACAGTTTCGTCCACTAGTCAAAAGTTCTAAATTATATGCTGAAAATGCATGGGGTGGATATTTGGGCTCAAAAAGCATATCCCCATGCAGATATGCAAGTAGTGTGGTATATAATGTCGCCATTTCGGAACAAGACATTTTTTATTGTTACTTTTTCTAGTCATAATTGTATTGTACACTAGTCTCTAAAACTTAAGCAACTTCTGTAATTTTGGTCCTAATTCAGCAACAACAAAAAAAGTAAATAGGATGCAGAATGAATAGAAAAAGGCTTTATCAATAGAATGGGGTTGGTAAAAAAAAAAAAAAAAAAACTGTCTGGTCAAGAGAGAAAACAACAAACCAAAGAGCTCGTGGTGATGGCGATAAGGAGCATGCCTTGCGCCCTCCGATAAGTGTGGCAACCCTAGAGGAGAAGTTTCTTACGAGTAGCGAGCAGAGCGAAACAGGCAGGCTGTCGGGCAGTGTGCGCGAAGTTCCTAAATAAAGTTTAATTTTTATTGTGCACTATGTCTTGTTAATATTTATATTAATGCAGTAAGAACATAATCTGTGATATGGAATTCGAGGATTGGTGGTAAAAACATATAGGAAGTCACTATAATGGTGACCCGGACTGTGTTAAATCGTATGAACAGTTCTCAAGCACTTTTGGTTTTGACTACAAGCCATCACTCAAGATCTCCAAACCAGAAGTAATGGATTACATCGGTTTTCATCCTCCGAATCACAGATGAGTAGTATTATAGATCATTTTATAATTCTGTTTTCTACTTATCATTTAATTTCATTTTCTTTAGTTAAATTTTTGCTTTATTTTGGCTTAAAACCTTGCACGATGTCTGATTTCATGCCGTCCAAATTCCGGTTTATAACCATCAGACCCATCTTTATGGTTTATTATGTGTGAAAGTACCTTTGCTCTTGCCACCCCCCAAACCTATCACAGAAAATCCATTACTAAATATAATTATGTAGTTGCTCATCTTCCTCCAGATATTGCATCAATAGTACGGGATTTACTTATGAAACCAGATCCTATTGATCCATATACAAAGCTCAAAACTGAGTTAATTAATCGTTCAGGAGAATCTTTTCAGCAAGAAATTCGCCAATTATTATCTGGAGAGGAATTAGGCTCTCGAAAACCTTCCGATTTGCTTAGAAATATGAAACGTCGAGCAGAATCTTTAAATGTTCCTGATAACTTAATGTTAGAATTATTCCTTCAACGTTTGCCTTCGACTGTTCAGTCTATTTTGGCAGCGGTTTCCAATTTAACTGTAGATAAAGCTGCAGAAATTGCCGACAGAATTTTAGAAGTAAATCCAACCCCAGGGACTTGTGCCGTTTCTCGCACAGTCGATCAGTCTCTTGAGGATAAATTATTTAAACAAATAAAAATTAAACAAACGTATTGATCGCATTTCTCTTTCTCGTGGCCGCTTGCCAATCGCGGAGATCGCAATAAGGAAAGAAGCAATTCCAAAAGAGATTATTATTCTGTTGCTGGTATCATACATAGACGTTGTTACAAAACCTTGTAAGAGTTCATGACAAATGTACAAAATGTTCATGGCAGGGAAAAACCAAAGAATATAGAGGCGACTTATTCTTTGCCTCAAGCTTCACGTCGCCTGTTCGTTCGTGACCGTAGAACAAACCTTTCATTCTTGGTCGATACCGGCTCTGACGTGTCCTTACTTCCAGCAAATAATTCTCAAAAACGGGAATTCGTCCCAACAAACACTTTTCATTGCTAATTCTTCTTACTATTCATGTTTATGGTAAAAAAAACACTTTCTTTGGATTTCAAATTAAGATGACAGTTTTACATGACTTTTCTTATAGCAAATGTTAGTACACCCATTCTTGGAGCAGATTTTCTCCATTTCTTTGAATTGGGTGCCTGATCTCAGAAACAAATGTCTCAAGATTTAAAAAACGCATTTTTAAAACCGTCGGTTGCGTGAAAATGCAAGCATTTATTCAGTAAAAACTGTATTTAGTGATACACCATATCACAAAATTTTAAAAGAATTTCCTTCAGTTACTAGATTACCAGATCCTAAAACCAACCTGTTAAACATAAAACCGTTCATTATATCATAACTAAAGGTCCACCTGTGGTTGCAAAACCTCGTCGGTTAGCTCCAGATCGCTTAAAAATAGCAAAACAAGAATTTCAAACTATGATGCAATTGGGGCATTTGAGACCTTCGAGCAGCAATTATGCATCCCCACTTCACATGGTTCCAAAAAAGGGAAGTCTGGAATGGAGACCTGTAGGAGATTATCGAGCATTGAACGCTCAAACAAAAAGACAAATACCCTATTCCATGCTTAGCCGATTTTACTGCTGCATTGCACGGTACTAAAATTTTTAGTCATGTCGACCTGATTAAGGCATACCATCAAATACCAATTAACCCAGCCGACATCCACAAAACCGCCATATGCACACCATTCGGTTTATTCGAAAGTACCCATATGCAATTCGGCCTTATGCAATGCATCCGCGACTTTTCAAAACATTTTATAGATGAAAGTCACGCGGGATTTAGAAGGTGTTTACGTTTTTGTCGATGACTTGCTCATGGCCTCTAAAGATTCTGAGGAACATTGCAGGCATTTGAAAGCTTTATTTTCCAAACTTCAGGAATATGGACTTTGCATAAATGTTTCAAAATGCACCTTTGGTCAAACCTTAGTGAAGAGGTTGAAGTTTCTTACGAGTAGCGAGCAGAGCGAAACAGGCAGGCTGTCGGGCAGTGTGCGCAAAGTTCCTAAATAAAGTTTAATTTTTATTGTGCACTATGTCTTGTTAATATTTATATTAATGCAGTAGAACATAATCTGTCATATGGAATTCGAGGATTGGTGGTAAAAACATAACAGGAAATCACCATAAGCTTTAGTAAGGATATGACCTGTTCTAACTGCAGTTGTTGCACTGCACTATCTGTCAATACTCAGCACCAGATTATCTAACAGCTCTTAGGGTTCCCATTTTTGAAGAAGCATCTGTTTTATTTGTCTTTTGTTCTTCAGAGGGTAAGATTGTGGTACCAAGTATCTCTTTAAAGTATTCCACACTATTTCAATAGGATTTAAACCAGGGAAGCATGCTGGTCAATCCTTTCTGTGGACATCTTCACTTTCCACAAGCTCCTCAACATCATGAGACCTGTGTGGCTGTGGGTTGCCATCCATAAAAACAAAGTCTGGACCAATGGCATCCTGGAAAAGATGCATGTGGAGAAGGATAAATTAATCACAGTAGTCTCCCCATACAAGCACACCAGTCTGTTTCCATGATGTTAGTAGCATTAAAGCACGTCTCTACCATACCAGTTTGTGCTGAGAATCGTTTGGCAGATTGATATGACTCTCATCAATAAAGAGAATGTGACCTCATTTATGAGATTTCCAGCCTTTGTGTTCCCTACCCCCATGTAAACAGTGCTGCTAATGAGCTGCTGTCAATGGTATGCAGTACTCAAAACAGTGGTCAAATAGGCCACTTTTATGAAGTCATCTGGCCGCAGTAAACCATAACACCTCTTGTCCATCATTGTGCTCAAATGCTGAGCGACATTTCTGGGGGCATGTCACATTTAAAAAAAACTTTCTGTTCTAGTTAATGTCCCTAATTTCAATCCATCTTTACCTTCAGCCTTTAAGGAAATTATGTTTTAGTTTTATTGTTTCATCAGTAGATGGTGCCAGTAGCTTAACTTCTGTTCAGCCATTCTTATCTTATCACCATATCTTATCTCGTTTATTTGCACTTGGGTAGCTAAGGAAGATGGTTCTGTACTTAAACCATCGAATCTAGTCCTACAAGATTTACAAATATTATGTTGATTATTGTTGTTTGGCTGTTCCAA